TACGCGAATTTGGCGTCGCGTCTAAAGAAAGAAATTACCGAATGATACAATCAAACCGTGGCGTCATATGGCTTTGTCTTGATTGCCAATTTAACAACTTGTATCAAGTTGTTTGAGACGATAATTTGAAAATTAAAGTAAAATTCACTTTATCATTATAAAATCTGGCAGATATATTCAAGGAAAATATGATGCATGAATCTATTTTTTCTGCACTTTTTTCTTCTCCCAAGAATAGGCCTTATCTTCTACACATTTAAATATAGGCCTATACGTAATTCAAAATGAAGGACTATAAAATGGTCAAACATATATATGCAGCTACTGGCAGGTAAATGCCAGGTGAGTCATATCGTTTCTCATATCCCATCTCTTTTTCTGTCCCACTCAGTTTTTGTTATAATAATTTCCTTTTCATTGCCTTGATCTAAAATAAAGAAGACTCTGTCTCAGTGATTTTTCCCGGTCCTCTATGCAATCGATATAATTATATCAGTGCCATTCTTTTAATCATGACCCTTTTTTCACATGAAGGAAATTTTGAAATATTATCGTGGAAAAGAAAAAAGAAAGGATTGGAAATATTCATGCAAGCTGATCGAGGAAAATGTAAATTCTTTTTTTTGCGATTTGTTTAAAATGTGAAACTAAAATTTGTTTATGTGAATATTTCTCTTCTGTACTGTATAATATGTCCCATTTGCAGCCAATTTCAAATTCTTTAGAAAGCTGCAGGAATTATGAATATGTCATGTTTGTCACGTATCTGTGAAATTTAAACATGCAGTGTCCTACTTAAATTATGCAAGGAAACCTGTTTAGTATCTAGACTTAACTGTCCAATTGACTGACTTTTTTTTTCTTCAGTAATACTGGCATAGTACGTGAGCTGAAGGGGTAAAGCATAGTTGTCTACATCAGTAACTCACTTCTTGTAATTAAACTAATTGAATCTTTGCACAGCAAAAAACGTACACCATTCGGTACAAGGGTCTGAAAATCAGACTATACTAAAGGATTGCAATCCCTAAAATCGATTTCGACAACTAACAGTCCTTATCATTTTCCCACAAAAAGATATTTTCAAGCCCTTTCGTTTCGAGGGAAGCTCTGAATTAGTATCTTTCAAATGCTGGTGGAATTTAACCTTTTCATTTTTGTTAGCCTTCAAATGTGACCTATACCTTTTTCTTAACAGAGGTTGATATCACTGATGTATATTATACTGATAACCTTCTCTCTCTGCACAGACGCTGTTTTCTTCCCAGCTGCAAAAAGTAGAAATCGTTATACTATTTATATGGTCGCTAAATTGGCACAATCTTCATGTCGAATTCTTCAGTTTCATACGGCTTCACATGTTGCCAATCTGTAAAGATTAAGTAAAAGAAAATTATATCTTTTCTCGCATTTTGATTATTTTCCAAGTCTGTAATAATTAAAATATGTCTCAAAATGTAATTGATAATCTACAATCATCTAAAGATGTTTGATAAGTATTATTTATTTAAAAATATCAATCTGTAATGTTGAAAGTCTTCCCATGTCACGTAGCTTATACGTATTTGCATGCATGCATGTATATAATAACTATAAATGCGCCTCTAACGTAGAACCAACGAACTCAAACCAAGCGCGCGTGCTCACAGAGCCTTGCGCTATTCTATCCCCACAATTCTACCGCCAAACCGTAAAGCCGATCGTATTCTAGTACATTTAGATATTATTCATACATTTCTAGTTTTCAAAAGCTTCTTTCATCGGCTTCTACCACCGATTTCTTTCAAAGCTTGATATATAACTCACGATAAACCATAATCCCATATTTAACCATAATCACTGGCGTACTGGTGGGGGGGGGGGGGGGGGGGGGGGGTCTTTCTCTAATAACTTCCACTTAATGAAGTGTCAAAGCTTCGCGCAGGAGGGGAAAACTGAGAAATAAATTAGGTCACGGCCCCGGGTTTATAGGGTTCAATTTGTAAACATTGGGACATTGGCATTAATACATTTGTCGGTAATTGGTGGCATATTGCTCCGATTGTCTCATTTTCGCTCGCGTGAACATTGCCAGCACAAACCACTGACCTCTGCCTCCTGAACGGATCATCGCCCATTCCATTCACTATACGTTACGTACTATAAAGGCTGTATTGTCTGACCGTTCATGAATATTCATGTTTTTGCTAAACTCGGCAAAATGTTTGCTTTTACTAAATGGAAAAATTACGGTGGGGGGTTGGATGAAATGGACATAATGAAATAGGCAGAAGTGATCTATGATAATTCATGCTTTTTATGTTTCGTGTGCTCGACCTATAATCTTCAAATCGCTTGGTAAACTGAGTTCAAAGTTCAACTTGTTTCACATGTGTATGATAGGCAATGACGAGCTTGCAACCTATTTTGAAAAATTACGGTGGGTGAACTTTCAAAAGTCAATGAGACATGAGGGCTCCAATGAAAGAGCTAGTGATAACGTACGTCGGGGTGGATGTGCTTTTCGTTGAAACAAAAATGAATTTTTAACGATTTTTTTTTAAAAACGCCTATAGGCTAACATGTTAGGCTGCCGACTCAGATCATGCTCTGACGATAGGGGGCGTTGTGAAATGAGACTAACCGGAGCCATATGCTAGTTTTGTCACTGACAAAAGGTCTAGCGAAGCCCCTGATAACAACACAATTTATACACTCGAGATAATGTTTGCAAATACTACTGGTAAAGTACCGGATCATCGTCTTTTAAATTATACATTGTGCAGCAACGACTCGTGAGAGATCACTTTTCTCTAACTTCTAACCAATCAGAAGGCCTCGGTTTTTTTCCAGGATGTGCCGGTGGACATTAATGCGCCAAATGGGTTCTCAAATTGCAAAAGGATCCCTCACTCTTGGAGGGGGTAGGAGAAAGCAGTCTTACGTCATATTAATTACTCCAGGAAGTGCCTGAAAATGCGTCTAATGTGGTTCTAAAATTGTAAATGCTTCCTACTCTTGGGAGGGATCAGAACCCCTCCCAGATCTACCCCCGCTTGGTCGCTCCGCTCCCTTGCCACTAAAGGCTCGTTCTGTCGCTTCATCGTTTTCACCCCATGCAATTTGGTGCCCCCCCGGTAAGAAATTCCTGGATCCGCCACTGATGCCCATAACCCTTGAGTTTCGGGGGCTCCGTCCCTTGACCCCCGGGCTTGACCCCCGCCGGGGCTTTGCCCCTAGACCCTAATTTGAAAAACGTTTAGCGGGGCCTGCATGTAAGAGTGGGGTGATGCGGATTTTTTTTGTCAGCCCCCCCCCCCCCCAAAGTTTTTGCTCATTATGCCACTCAGCCACTGACCATAATCAATAGAAATCGAAGGCATCATTTAGTACCAAGAGAAAGGAAATTAAGGCTGCATGCACATTATGGCTTACAAATTGATAATAGTTGATAAATAGATTTTGAGTCCGAAATCTTTTCTTTCATCTAGTTACATGACTTTTTGATATTTTTCTTGACAACTGGTATTTTAATACATCAATAATAATTGTTTGAACTTTAAGTATACATGCATGCATATACATGTATAATAATATGCAGCGATGTAAATTGGCGTACTGATGCGGGGGGGGGGGGCGTGGGGCAGTAGCCCCCAAATAAAAATATTTATAATTCGATAGCAGTCATTTACAAATGTTGCTGAAATGACATGATTTTCCGTTTTTTCTCACTTGTGCCTATTATGCCAGAGGCGGAACTCCCCGAGGAGGGCACTGTGCCCCCACTTTTCAGGTACTTCCCAAAAGCCCCCTTTTACGTATGACAAGTGTCCCTTTTCTTTTCTAATAACTGTCATTTTCCTCGCTTTTCATCTCTGGTGACTACGTCTTTTCAGGTGCGAGAAATTCCCCTTTTCACCTCTGATATTTTTGCCCTTTTTTATACTTTGATTCGTGCCCCTTTTCCTTTATGATAAGTGTACTTTTTCCTTCGTAATAAGAACCCCTTCTCTTTTTCCTAAATGCAACCTTTCATCTCTGATATAGTGGTAATAAGTAGCTTACCGTATTTCCTTCATATAAGTTCCCCTTTTCATTTTTTATATGAGCCTTTTCCATTTTTCCAAAATGCCCCTTTTAAACATATTGATAAATAGGCTACCCCTATTAAAAGCTGACAGGTGCCTATCTTTTCGTTCAACAGATTCCTCATTTCCGATTCTCACAAGTGCCTTTTTCATCTCTGGTGAGTGTCCATTTTTAGGTGCAAGAAGTCTGTGCAATTTTTTCCTCTGATAATGGACCTTTTTACTGTGACGTGAGCACCTTTTCTTTTCTCTTGACTGTCCTTTTCCCCCGTTTTGATAAGTGACCAGGCGCGTACACAGGGGGAGGGTTTTGGGGGTTAACCCCCCCCCCCCTTTTGGTATTTTTGTGTGTAAACCCCCCCCCCCCCCTTTTGGATTTTTTTTTTTTTTTTTTTTTTTATTTTTATTAAAAAAATAAATAAAAACATTCCCATGGCTGACCTCAAAAAGATGACCTTACCCCCCCCCCCCAACGGAGCAAAATGTCAAATTTTCAAATTTCGATACCAAAAAAAAAAAAAGTGTCCTCTTAATATAATATAATATAATATTCCTGAAATTTATAGAAAAGATAAATGAAATTGAATTTTGAAAAGAAGGAATAAGAATGTGCTTTCCGTCAAGGCGTCATTCACATTACCAGCAAAAGGCGAGCAAATTATCTAACCCCCCCCCCCCCCCCCCCCCCCCCCCCCCCCCCAGCTAACAAAGAAGCGGCCCGACTTCAAAGAATCCCTGAAACGCTCCGTCCGATCCCTTCACGAGATCTGCGGCAAGGATTCATAGCGCAAAATACTGGGCGCGGGCAGCGCACGCATGCACAGTATGGGTGTAATGTAACGCGCGCGTAATTACGTACGTACGCGTCGCGTCAATAATGCATGCAAAGCTAAGTAACTTATGATTCGATTGATGGACATCTCGGGACTGTAAGAGTAATTTAAAATTAAGAAATTCTGTTTACAAATCAGTTTTCCGACATCACATTTAGTATCTGTGTAAAGTGTGTGTGGTCGTCGTCATGTCGGCCCAAGAACAGATGCGGAAAATGCTCGATGAGCTGATGGGGACGTCTCGAAATGGTAAGGTCCAAACCTAGGAATAGGTAAAAATAGCCTAGGCCTAGAGGGGTCTAGCCAACATTTCCCTAAAAACAAAGTCAAAGACATACTTTCGTATCCATTTTGGACCCCTAGCTCCGGCGTTGAGATACCCCACTAAAACATAGACTACCAACAAATCAACTTGATCTTTATCAATTGTTCAAATAATGGTCATGATATCATTGTCTATTTCTTACCCCTTTCGTTTGTTGGAGTAGATTCTATTTTCCCTAAAAACAAAGTCGAAGACATCATGATTTAATTATGATAGGCCTAGGCCTATTTACTTTCTGACACTGTTTCGTGGCAAACTGCTGCATTAGTGGGGTATCTCAACGCCGGAGCTAGGGGTCCAAAATGGATACGAAAGTCACTGAAAGTACACTAGCGCCTTTTTGGCGCTTTGCCACGAAACAGTGTCAGAAAGTGAATATCATAATTAAATGATGGGCGCTTGTTCAGAAGCCTAGAAATTGACCATTCAAAATTTGACCTGTAACTTAGACCCTAGATCTAGATCTAGGCCTATGTAAGTTCGGAACATGGAGTCTAGGCCTACCCAAAATGTTTAAAATGAAGTAAAAATTCATCAAATGTCCAAATAAAGATCATGAGGTAAATTCCTCATGTTTATTGCCTGTTTCGTGTCAATTTTCTTGTTATTTTTTTGGAAAACATTGATATTAGTAGTAGGAGACCCTAGATCTATACACCTTTTCAAAGGTTTCACGGCAAACCACTGCAAGCAAGTTAATAGGCCTACTGATGGTGGGTTGCAAGCGCGCGCCTGTGTGAAGTTATCTATCGTAATAATAATCTGAGACATTACGGTAGATTACTTCACACAGGCGCTCGCCTGCCCGCAACCCACCTTCGGTATGCACTTGTATTGTGCAGTGGTTTGCTGTGAAACCTGTGAAAAAGTGTATAGGCCTACTAGAACTAATATCAACGTTTATCTGGGAAATACTCCAAAATCTACACAAAACGCGTAATAAACATAACAAGTTTTAACTCATGATCTTTATTTCGACATTTAATGAATATTTACTTCCTTTTAGGTATGTTTTAGTAGGGTATCTCCACGCCGGAGTTACGGGTCAAATTTTGGACCCGCATCCCTTCGTCAGTATACGGATTACGGTATGCAATTGTATTATTATTAATTTATGCAATCAATTTTAGCGAAATCCCTGCGCAAGCTTCTTTTTACACGTTTTTTTTCTTCAATTCTGTAGTCTGACTCTAAGCCTGGTATTGATGATGCTGTGTTTTTATGTTTTGCATTTCTGTCCTCTTTTTTCAGGTGAAAATGCAGGACGCTTTCACTTCACGGATCCAAAGGTTTGCCGCTCATTCCTGCTCAATTGTTGCCCACATGACATCCTTGCTAGCACGGTAAATATCAAATCTTCTTATTAAATTCTTCAATGTCTGTTTGTTTCTAAATAATTTGCCATTTTTCAAAACTTTGAATTACGAGGTAATAATTGAGATTTCCAAAACAAAAGAAAAAAAAGGAGAAAGAAAGAAGCTTGTCTTTCCTTTCAACCATGTTAATACTGATAGAGGCAGAAGGGTCGAGGGAAAATATAAGAGAGAACTTGTTCAGTGAATGTTGAAGTAAAATCTGAAAAAGGAATATGGTATCAATCTTTGAAGTTGTTTTGTCCCAGTGTAGTAGGTGCTGACAAACAAAGTTGAAAATATTTTTGTTTGCTGTGACAGTACAAAGCTCCGACATAGGCGCAATCCCAGAGATGTCAACCGTTACGGTTTCGCCGCATTTGTTACGGTTTTAATGCTCATGTTACGGGGTTACGGTAAACAATCAAAAGGTTATGGGAAACAATAAATAAAAGTACATTATAGCGAATGACGCCTTATCACATAGCCTCCGTACACAGCGCTGCTTGTCGCACGTATTTATTCATAAGTTCACTGAACTTGACTACACTGAATAGGCACTTTCGCACACATGGTCCGTCCGCCGCCATCTTGTTTAATTCCGAAACAACACGGCTGCCGTCATTTCTGCTTTGATACTAGTATGCTACGTGCGGTCGTGCGTTTTGGGGGGAGCATGGTGGTGGATGATCGTGCGCACGGCGCCCGCAATACCCATTCAAAATATAGTAGCAAAGACTTTGGTGATTCAGCGGGCGCATTGCAAGTGCGGTATACAGTGTGTTGTTGTTCATGAACGCCGGGCCCAGCGGCCTGGGCTGGTGTGTCTGCACTGGTGAGTGTACGTGTGCGTGTGTAGTATACAAGTTCTGCCATTTGACTGTGGATTCGAATTCGCCGTTCGACACTTGAACGAGGTGTTTTCTTCCTGAATATTATCATGAATTCACTCAAAAGAGCTAGTAACCGAGGAGGAGATCCTTTGACTGCAAACAGATTTTTAAAAACGTTTTTATGCAGTAAGAGTGATTGGTTATTTGTGTACGTTTTACTCGAAAATTATGCTGCGGTGTCTTGTGTTCTGGAAAGACTCGTTTTTTAGAAGAAAAAATGGTATTAAAGCATTCAAAACTAAGAAATATCAGCCCAAAGAGAGAGGTTTAAAAAAAAAGTAAAACAGATTTCCGACCAATCGACCCATGTTTTTGCACCTAAAGGGCAATACAACATCTTTTTTTTTAGGCCTAATTATAGTAATGACCAATGCTTAATTCTGAAACTCATGATTTGAAGTACTAATGACCACTTTTGTCGCTTCATTATCTTATACATATATTTGTTCCTTATTTCATCTATATCTATTAACGTGATATAGACCGTATGTATTTCTTGTAATTACATGTATGTATTTTCTTGAACAAATTATTGTTACGCCAGTGGAAACCAATTTCTATGTAACATGTTTGCAAAGACAAAATAAAAAAATATCTTGTCTCTTTTATCTTGTTACAACTGGCCATAAAACAATATTATTGATGAATGATACTAATGTGAATGTATTATTTGCTTGATAGCGTGCTGATCTAGGTGCGTGTTCCAAACATCATGACCCTGCTTTGAGAGCTGACTATGAGCAAGCTGCTAAAAACAAAGACTTCGGATATCACATTGATGTAAGTATGATACGTTAATGTCATGAGCAAACAGGTTCATCAAACAAAACACTGAATAACCTGAGAGGTCATCTTTAATGATATTTAAAGCCCCACCGCACTACTTAAAGCTACTTGTGCCCTCTATATAGCAAACAATGCCTAATCGGTGCCTGTTGGTCCCCCATGATCCCCTTTTTCTTATGTTAATTGAGAGCTGATTTGATGAGATAACCACCTGTTGGTGACCTTGTAGGGAGGTCTAATCCTTCCTGGCCAAATTAGTGCAGATGGGCTTTAAAGGGTGTCACAAATCACAAACAATTATTCACATGTGCAACATACAGTGATACACTACAGAGCCTAAGTGGACACAGCTGTTTTTACAAGACATTAATGGAATTTGGTTTGTACAGAGGCTCTTTCATAATTTTGTGGGCTATTTGGGGAAATGTTAGGGACCATACCCAAGACTCAAGACTGGGCCCCTCTTTAGCAGTGCAAAAGAAAGGAGTAGTTTAGACTTTAGAAACAAGGATATTTTTACTAGTCTGGCACCTAGAGATGGCTATGTTCACTTCACTTGCTCGTAATTTCATCACATGTTTTTCAATGCATAATTCAACACGACCATTCATGACTTCACATACATTGATTAGGTTAGTAGGTTTTTCTTTTATAAGCTCATGATACATGATACCTGAAATTCATTTTCTGCTTCTAAAATGCAGAAATTCAGCACCATTTGCAGATAGATACATGGACAAAATTATGATCTTTTCAATTAACATATATTCTATTTTTATACACGTTTTGATAATTGTAATTTCTTGCCAACAGAAACTGTTATAATGCTTTTCCTTCATACATCGTGTATCATGTTTCATGTATATATGAAATTTTCCCGGGAACAAGTTATGTATGCAGACTGGATTCCAAGTATTGCAGTTCATTCATTAATAACAGGTTTATGGAATAACTCGTCACTAGGTCCCCACCAAGGAAACATCCTTACATTTGAATATGTTTAGTTAACCTGTCTACTGCAACTTTAGGAGATCAGATGGGGCCCAGATTTGATCATTTGACTATCTTGTATGAGGGTGTTCTGAGTGGTAATACAGTTTGTGTTAAAAACATGGCAATGATTTATGAATGTTATCTTTTTCTTCTTTTTTTTCCAGGCTACACAGCATCTGCAGTCTTTCATTGCTGACTGTGATCGGCGTACAGAGAACTCCAAGAAACGCTTGTTAGAAACCCAGGAAAGCCTTAGTGCTGAAGTCAACCACAAGGTTCGTAAGCAATCTTTTCAAACTCTTTTTCAATTTTGTGGACATTTTTCTTTTCTTCATTTTTGTTCTCAGTAGTATCTTTCTTAAGCGATAGATTATCCAACATGTCATTGTTTGGACATTAGTACAGGGTATATCCAGACTGTGGAAGGAGCTCAAAAACAAACAAAGGAATAAACCATGAATGAGAGAACAATTTTTTTTTATGTGGTCTGTAATATTCTGAAATTTATACTCAAATCATAAATTTTCTAGTGTAATTTGTCAGTTTTTCGCAGTTGGTAGCTCAGTGTTTACCATGTTTTTATATTTTTCATGAAATCAAAATTCCCTTTTTACTTTAACCAGTGCACATTCTATTCTTTAGATAATGTTTATTGTAAACATTGCACTTAGTCAAATGAATATTCATATCAATTCTATTTCCTGCTATCCATGCTGGATATTCCCTTTACATAAGATGTTTATATTCCATGATTTATGTCCAAACAAGTGTTTAAGCCAACATCTTAATTCATTTTACTCCTTATGTTTTTTTTTTAATTTAATAGAATTTGCATGTTTTCTCTTTTTTCTCCCTATTCACCCTTATTTAATACAGTCAATTCTTAGCACAAAGTAGTGAGACCTTGAATTTTATCAGTAATAATCTATAAAATCAACCCCACCACAACTTCAAGTAAATAAACAAATAATCATAAGTGTATTTACACATTACATTTTCCCCCAATATTCAATATTTGACACCTACATTTGTCCATGTAAAGTTATTCGGATCTGCTTTCCGTAAGAGAATAAGAAGGAAAAAAAGATGCCATATTCTATCCCTGTACTGCCATTACCCTTTGGAGACCTTCATCACGGACAGTTGTTGATACTCTGTTCGTCCATTCTCTCCTCCGGACAGATATCATCACTTCAAGGCTTCATTTGAAAGCAGCGCTTGCCTTTAGTGCCATGTTAAAGGAGTTTGTAAGTTGACAGCAAGAAAAAGAAATATAATAACACACAGTTTCTGAAATACATGTGCTTAATGATTCCAACCCCTTTTGATCAGTGTAGTTGATACACTTGTATTGCAAATCCCTTCCTTTTTCTTATTAGACATGTACATAATAATTTGTTGACATTCCTCTCTTTTACAATATATTAAGAATGTTCAACTTGTTGATGGCCAATGTTTAGTTTTATTATAAGCTGCTCAGCATTTTATTATTCAACACTAACTTTCTTTTATTTTTATGGTAGTGGGGATGGTATTTGTGACTTTCTTAGAGCTTCGATTAATCCCAAGAGAGAGAGAAATAGAAAGTAGAAACCTAACTAAATTGCCATTTCAGGCCAAAAATAAACTAAACCATCAACAAGTTGTCCTGTATGATATTGATCAGTTAATGATGATGTATTCTTCTAGAACCGGTTAAAGCATTATTTTGAAGTCCTCAGTAATCACAAACATGATGAGCTTAGATACTTCAATTTCCTGTTGCACAAGTGTATACGGCACATTTCCTCAAACATATATTCAGAAGTATTACCTGTTCCTAACTCTCTTTTACCCAAATAACCCAAACACATTCTGAATACTCCAATGATATATTCTGACCCCTGGACAAACCTCGGCGAGTACCCTTATTACAGTAGGAGCTTTGACAATTCCTTCTGTTATTCTTCCAGGAAATCTGTTGTTCATTTGTAGTGCTCTAATGGCATTTCACACTCAAAGTTTCCCCCAAGAGTGCGCAGACAATATATGGGTACGTAATAAAAAATAAAAAAGCAATGTGGGGCGGCATCACGTGAGTATCAATTGTTGATATCGTAGTGTGATAGAATCGATTGTGAAACGTCATCACCGTCATGCTCCAGATCTAGAGCACTGGAAGAATGTAAGGAGAATGAATAGCTGGCTTGGCTTGGCGGGCGGGCGCACTTTGTAAGTGAACACATTGAAGACATATTTCATCTGTTTCGTATACATGCAATGATTGATTTTTATGTTTGAAAGACAGATGAGAGGAGAATGCTTTGAGAGACGAGGGCCCAGTGCAAGGCGCTGATAGTGTATTACACACTGAACCACACCAAGTCATTATGCATTTTACTTACTCAGTTACCTGTAAGGAAGGAAGGACCTTGTGTTTCTGTATTTACCTAGCGAGAAAAATGCATGACATTCAATTACTGGGGAGAAAATAATAACGTTGGATAAGTGTTCAAGGGGCTCCAATATCACCTCGGCTCTATCAAGGCTACCGTTTTCGGTATTCACAGCATTCAAGAATTTTCTTCTTACTGGCACCCATGTAACACCTGGGTGGTGAGTGGAAAATGTAGATTGATACTTCTAAAACACTGGGAACAAAAAATTAAATAAATAACTACCCTCAGTGCCCTGATTTCAAAGGTTGTCTAAACGCAAACCAAATGTCTTCTATGCATTTGTTCTTACTCAAACCAGAAATTGTTCCACGATAATGGAAATGGTCTTTTAAATGGTAAATTAGGAATGCAAGCTCCTTCTTCCTCTCAATGAGAAGGCCATACACTTCCAAACTTCGTCAGCATCATGAGTTAATCAGCCAAAATTGTTTTATTTGTCTGAAGTTGCAATCCATTTTGGAACATTGACAATACACTTTCTTTCATTCATTTGACATTGGCTTAAAATATGCATGACATGCGTATCATCTATATTACCCCTTGTTTAGTCCAAGGAGCAGCACAATTCTCTTTCATTGACAGTTTGCACAAACCTGTATCAGAATGAAAAGCAATGTGGATGCCAATTTTCCCTGTTCAAACTGGGAGTGGATAGGAAATAATGATCATTTAACGTCAAGTAAGAACAGTTTTTGTTTTGTGTAGATGATGAAATAGCCATATATCAGATGCAATGCACTTGTATTTCACTCAGCATTGCTCTGTATATTTGACTCGTCATCTTGTGCTTGTACATTTGTGTGGCCATCGGTATTGTCAAAACAAAAGAAAAAGGTTTATAAGAATGGGTGTCCACGTGCATGTGTTTTAATCAGGTCTTTCCGCAGAGGTAAAGCCACATCTCACCTCAGACTGTAATTGCTTGTAGCAGGATGGAGAAAGATGGACTGTTAGGATGATATGGAGTGGAACAGGAGCAAACGGTCTACAGGCATCTTGTGTCATCTTAAAAATACAAAACACCTCGAAGGGGCTGTGCAGTTGCCGCCTGTATGGCATCGCTATTCATGAAAGTCATCTTGTTTCTTCAGAAAACTAAGATGAGCAAGATGAACTCTGAAAATGAAGAGAAACAGTACAAAATGTATTTCTAAGTAGGACTCTGCTGCTGCCTTCATTCTCCAGATCCTGCATTTATAAGTGCCATGGGTTCAAACAGGCTGCAATCAACATGTTTGTATGTATAAGAAGAAGCAGCACATGACTGTTGAATCCTCCAGGAGCTGCTGGGATGACATCACAATGCTTGTATCTAGTGTGTCGTAAAGCTTTCACATAACCTTTGAACTGAGAAGTGTGTTGCTCTTTCACCAGGCATAATGAAGTGCTAATAAAATGGGAGTGTGTGGCCTTTCACCGTATACCATGCATCCATATATTCACTGCCATTGATTGATAAATTGAATGGTTGACTAACACCTGTTTGTTCTTTTTTTCTCGTGTTTGTATCTTGCCCCTGATCACTCCTCTGTAGGCTGATTGTGTTCATGAGATGGCTGAGATGCTGGGTAAGAAGATAGCTGATGCTGAGAAGCACGGAGAGGAAGGTGACGTAGAGAAGTCTATGGAGGTCATGGCAGAGGTCGAGGAGATCAGACAGAAGAAGATAGCAGCCGAGGTAAGCCAATCACAGGCCTGATAATTACCCAATTTAAATTTGGTTTCCTGATTATTATTTTTTCCTGATTTAACCCCTGTATTCCCTATTTTCCCCTTATTTTTCCTACTTTTTCCCAATTTTCTTTCTCAAAAGGGGGGAATGTTGACATTGCCCCCCCCCCTCCTGAAGCCTTTTTTTTAAATGGGAGGGGGGGGGTGGTTGTTTAGTGCTCACTATCACCCCTGCAATCACTTCCAGGTTGTTGCCATCCTAGCCTTTTACAGTGAAACCTCCTGAAACGACCACTTGTCTATAGATGCCACATTTTTTGTTTCTTTTGACAATCGTTTTTCATCGTTCTCTCATTTTATTATCCCCTCATCGACGAAGTCGGAGGGATATAGTAAACATGACGAAAACTCGTCGTTTAAAATTGAAACCCCCATTTGACTTTCACCACTACTAGAGCTGAGATAGTGATAAGCCCTAAGTAAACACTAGCGCTGTAATCCACCCCACCAAGACCTTGATGAGGTGATAGAGAGAGAGAGAGATAAGTATGATAGAGGGGGAAAGGAAGGGAGAAGGGAGAAAGAAACACATGCAGGGGTTCGCTGCCAGAGTTAAAATTGTTGTTATATCGCCAATTATGGGTCATTTTGCTTCGTTCAAACTTTCATTTTGGTCTTCATCTAAATTATTAGTGACTTTAGGACATGAAAATATCTTAAAACAAGTAAAATACTTATTTCCTACTTCTCATTTCCTTTCAGGCAGAGCCCCAGTAAGAGTTTGTTTACACTAGTATTACGTAAGATGATGAAGAGTCCAGCTGCAATCCAATATCTTAATCTCTCACTCAGAGCCTCAAGGCTCTATCCAAGTTTTTAACGAGAGAAACGAAAGTGGGGTAGTCCAACCCCACCAGATTTCCATTGGTGCCTGTGTAATAGTAGTAGCTCTCTCAAAGTTTTAACGAGAGAAACGAAACTGGGGTAGTGACACCCCACCAGATTACATTGACTGCTGTGTTATAGTGGTGGGGTATAGTTTTAACGAGAGCTTTTCATAATGCGCTGCAGTCCATCCTTCCTTCCATGCGTGCGTCCGTGCGTCTGTTCGTAACAAATTTGGTTTCTGATCGATAACTTCAGTAATAGTCGGTTCAATAAACGGTAAAAAACACCCCAACCCCAAAAAGATTGCAACAAAAGGTTTTTCCACGGTTTCTAGTAGTATTCAACCTCAGGGATAACATACTAAAAAGTAGACCAAAATCGAAGGTTCAGAAAGCTGTTTTTTTTTAAGATGGCGTCCAAGATGGCCGCCGATACCTACAAATGGCCATAAATCACTTATTATCCATCCTAGAGACATAAGTTTGGTGTCTATCTCACGGTTTCGGGGGTCAGAGAATCCATTGAGACAAGTAAGAATGGTTTGTGATGGTCTACGAAACCCCAAATTCCAATATGGCGTCCAAAATGGCAATAAGTCACTTATTATCCATCCGAGAAACATAATTGGGGTGTCTATGCTACGGTTTTCGGGGTCATAGAATCCATTAGGATAAGTTAGAACGTTAAAGGGATCCGGTAACTTTGTCTCAGATTTTGAAATAAAATTCTGGATTTAGCTCATGATGCAATGATAATTATAAACCTTTAGGTCACTCAGGAACCCCATGACTTTTACAAGCCGATCGCCTGTCTGATTATCAAGATATTTATGATTGGAATTACAAATTTTGAAAACCGTTCGCCTGACGGTTTTCATAACACTACAGTCTATTGGGGAAAACGAGTATGGTAAAACCGGTCACTCAAAGATTTTTACTTTTTTGAGGCACTTCTTGATCATTTTGAAGCGCAATTTTTTTAGGGCTTCAATATTACACCATATCACAGACACTGATAACACGTAGGGCCGTGTATCTCAGATTTAACATTGTTAAACGATCCCTTTAAGCAGTGGTTCAGGAAACCACAAAATCCAATATGGCGTCCAAAGGGCCACAAAACCACTAAGATTTCTCAATAGAGGGCGCACTTTATGAACAGGAAATGAACCTTTAATGTTTCTCTCTCACCCTAATGGCGTCACTGCACACACACACTGTTACATGTAGTCCATAACCTCTGCATGTATAGTGAGGTGTGCTACAAGCAGTAAAGAAGTCGCAATGAATCAACTTAAGAAGATTACTAGGTGCAGCCTCCGTATTTGACATCAGTGGAACCAGATGATTGTCCTTTAATTTCCAGCCCCAGTCTGTGATGTCCATATCTTCTCACTCTCCATCCATGCCATGACTTGGTAGCCCGGGCAATTTCTTAAGTTGATTCATTGCGACTTCTTTACTGCTCGTAGCACACCTCACTATACATGCAGAGGTTATGGACTACATGTAACAGTGTGTGTGTACAGTGATGCAATTAGGGTGAGACAGAAACATTATAAGTTCATCTCCTGTTCATAAAGTGCGCCCTCTATTGAGAAATCTTAGTGGTTTTGGACGCCATATTGGATTTCATAGTTTCCTGAACCACTGCTTAACGTTCTAACTTATCCTAATGGATTCTATGACCCCGAAAACCATAGCATAGACACCCCAATTATGTTTCTCGGATGGATAATAAGTGACTTATTGCCATTTTATGTTATGGCGGCCATTTTGGACGCCATCTTAGATTTTCAGGTTTTCGTAGACCATCACAAACCATTCTTTCTTGTCCCAATGGATTCTCTGACCCCCGAAACCATGGGATAGACACCAAAATTATGTCTCTAGGATGGATAATAAGTGATTTATGGCCATTTTAAGGTATCGGCGGCCATCTTGGACGCCATCTTGAAAAAAAAACAGCTTTCCGAACCTTTGATTTGGTCTACTTTTAGTATGTTATTCCTGAGGTCGAATACTACTAGAAACCGTTGAAAAACCTTTTGTTGCAATTTTTTTGGGTCAAACCATATCTTGACCTGACTATAATGTTTGACGGATTTTAATGAAATCAAAATACAGGCTAAGTTCGATTTCGGAGTATGTAGGTCAAAGATTAAAGGTCATAGCTCATTAAATATGCGAAAAAATACACAGCTGGTTTCCGATCGATAACTTTAATTATGTTTGACGGATTTTAATGAAATTTGATATGAAGGTACATGGCAACAAAACACAGCCTAAGTTCAATTTCGGAGTATGTAGGTCAAAGGTCATAGCTCATCAAATATGCGAATCTGGTTTCCGATCCATAACTTTTGTATTGTTTGACAAATTTTAATGAAATTTGATATGAGGTACATGGTATCAAAACACAGCCTAAGTTCAATTTCAAAGTATGTAGATCAAAGTCAGGGCTCAAATTAATTTTTTGTCCACGGGGGCTCTTATTTTAATACAATTTCCATTGAATTGGTACCCATGAAACTCCTAAATTCCTTGGTATTTTATCATTATCATTTATTTAAGTCGGCATTTTCCCTCTTAGAAATTTACTTGTTACATAGCTGTATACTTTTATCCCCGCGATCAGTGGCGGATCCAGGGGAAAAAAAAGGGGAAAGATTTATTTGTTGTTGTTGAAAACAAAGTGTTCCTTTCCCACTTGTATCACAGAAACACAACAGTTTAAGTTAAGTCTAACGTTAACGTTAATTTGTTATTAAAATGTAGAGTACAGCCCTTGGCCTTAGGCCTAATTTAGGTCGTAACTGTTACTGTTTGAAAATCTAAAGTAAAATTAGACGGTTTTCATGGTTAGACCAAGTAATTAAGAAAAAAAGTTTACCTGTCACTGAGACCAGGTCAATCAATCTTTTAGATGCAATATTAGGGTCTAACGTAAGTAGATATAAGATATGCAGGCGCGGATCCAGCGGGGGTGAGCGGGCCTTGCCCCCCCCCCCCCCCCCCTTCCGCTAAAGAGAGAGAGAGAGAGAGAGAGAGAAGGAAAAGAAGGGAAAGGGAAAGAGGAGAGAAATGGAAAGAAAGAAGAGGAAGAAGGAGATCGGGGGAGGGGGTGGGGGGGGGGGTGAAAGGGCCTTGCCTCCCAGGCTGTTGCCTCTCCCAATAAAACAAAATAAGAGAGAAGGAAAGAAGGAAATGGAAAGAAAAAAGGGAAGGAAAATTGAGGAAGAAGTAAAGAAAAGAAAGGGGATATCAGTTGCAATTTTCCCGCCAACAAGTTGCGGATGGGGGTGGGGCAAAAGGCCTTTGCCTCCCCCCGCCCCCGCTAAAAAAAAAGAGAGAAGGAAGGAAAAGGAAAAAAGGAGAGCTAAAAGGGACCCAAAAAAGAGGAAGAAAAAAAAAAAAGGTGAAAAGAATTTTGATGCGGTGTTCGAGTAGAATTCTGTGAGATGATGATATACTTTCTCGTAGCTTGATGTGACGAAGTGTCTCTATCCAGATATCTGTTGATAGTATTATAGAATATAGACGCCTGAAATGACCTTCTGCTCGTAACCGACAAGGCACCGCATTAAAATTAAATTGCAAATAGTGTTCAACAACACGATGGTGGATGAAACTTTCTAATATTCAAAGATATATGACCCTCAGACCATATTGTTTCATTATTTTTTATTCAATCAATCAAGGTCAAAAAATTGATTTATCATCGCTCTTCAATTTATTATTTCACCTTTTAATGTACTTTCATTCTTATGCATCACAAAAGAACACTGAATTGGATTCTTCAATGTTTGTTTTGATTAATTTCCTTCTCCCTGTTTAATACTGATAACATTTTCAATTTTTCGTAATCAAGGCAAAATATTATTTTCATATATTTTCTTTATGCAAGACAGGGAGAGAGACAGAGAGAATATGTTAAGTGAGAATTATCAAGTACAACTATGAATTGCATCCTTTTTAATATTATTCAATTTGCTGAAAATATTCAGAATATGAATATGATAAATCCACATAATACACCAACGCTGTTCAACGCATCCAACGCTCCAACCATAGCCCATATGCCAATGCACCATATTTATCAAATATGAAAAGATTTTTAAATGAAATTTGAAGAAAAATCAAATTTACAATGCACTGACAGGCATCAGTTGAAATCATGAATTCTCTGTGACTGGCTTAGCACTAGTTTTTGAGGGACCAGTCACTGAAGAGGAGATAAAGGGATTGAAAATTGAGAACGAAGTAAATAAAAGAAGGGGGATATCAATTGCAATTTTCCCGCCAACAAGTTGCGGATCGGGAGAAGGGTGGGGGCCGAAAGGCCTTTGCCTCCCCCCACATCCGCTTAAAAAAAGAGAGAGAAGGAAGGAAAAGGGACCAAAAAATAGGAAGAAGAAAAAAAAAGGTGAAAAGAATTTTGATGCGGTGTTCGAGTAGAATTCTGTGAGATGATGATATACTTTCTCGTAGCTTGATGGGACGAAGTGTCTCTATCCAGATATCTGTTGATAGTATTATAGAATATAGAAGCCTGAAATGACCTTCTGCTCGTAATTGACAAGTCACCGCATTAAAATTAAATTGCAAATAGTGTTCAACAACACGATGGTGGATGAAACTTTCTAATATTCAAAGATATATGACCCTCAGACCATATTGTTTCATTATTTTTTATTCAATCAATCAAGGTCAAAGAATTGATTTACCATCGCTCTTCAATTTATTATTTCACCTTTTAATGTACTTTCATTCTTATGCATCACGAAAGAACACTGAATTGGATTCCTCAATGATTGTTTTGATTAATTTCCTTCTCCCTGTTTAATACTGATAACATTTTCAATTTTTCTTAATCAAGGCAAAATATTATTTTCATATATTTTCTTTATGCAAGACAGGGAGAGAGACAGAGAGAACATGTTAAGTGAGAATTATCGAGTACAACTATGAATTGCATCCTTTTTAATATTATTCAATTTGCTGAAAATATTCAGAATATGAATATGATAAATCCACATAATACACCAACGCTGTTCAACGCATCCAACGCTCCAACCATAGCCCATATGCCAACGCACCATATTTATCAAATATGAAAAGATTTTTATATGAAATTTGAAGAAAAATCAAATTTACAATGTACTGACAGGCATCAGTTGAAATAATAAATTCTCTGTGACTGGCTTAGCACTAGTTTCTGAGGTACCAGTCACTGAAGAGGAGATAAAGGGAAGGAAATTGAGAAAGAAGTAAATAAAAGAAAGGGGATATCAGTTGCAATTTTCCCGCCAACAAGTTGCGGATCAGGATTGGGGTGGGGCAAAAAGCCTTTGCCTCCCCCTGCCTCCGCTAAACAAAATGAGAGAAGGAAGGAAAAGGAAAAAAGGAGAGCTAAATGGGACCAATAAAGAGAAAGAATTCTTTAATAATTTTAAAGGAACGTCAAAGCTTTCGCATAGGAGGAGGGGGGGGGGGGGTGGAACCAAATTCAGACAAGGATTAAGAGTCGAGAACAGTACAACGAATCGTCTTCTTTTCTCTAATGATTTAATGAAACGTCAAAGCTTCCGCGCGGACGGGGGGGAAAATGAATTCAGACAAGAATTTTTTCAAGAACGGTACAATGAAACGTCTTATTTCTCTAATAATTTAATGGAACGTCAAGGCTTCCGCATATCGCGCGCGAGGGGGAAACTGAATTCAGACGAAGTTTAGGAGTCGGGCAACGAATCGCCTTCTTTCTCTAATAATTTAATGGAACGTCAAAGCTTCCGCATATCACGCTCGAGGGGGAAACTGAATTCAGACGATGATTATTATGGGTGATGAACGTTATATGGCATCATGCATTCTCATGAAAAATAAAAACAATCAAAATTTAATTGTTCTTAAGTTATTTTCTTGTTCAAGGAGAACATACAGTATCACTATCAATCAATAACAATGATTATGTAAGTAGTGTGATGGTGGACACCAAGCTTTTTGAGTTAAACTGCCCATAGAAGTGCATGTGTCATTCATATTTTTTATAACAGAGTTAGCAACTATTCAAGTTTGTAATTTTGTCTCACTTCACAGCAAATACATAATAACATTTTCTAAGAATGAACCATGTTTAGGCATATTTTAGAGGGTTTCATTTTTAAGCATTCATGTCACACTTTCATTACCAATTAGTATTGTGATGAGTCACGTTAGACAGCTAGAGATAGGCAATCCTGAATGTTATGAATGCTTTGAAAACGGCTGTTGAATGAAGAGTATCATTTTGTGAAGTTTCTTGCTTTGCTGTAGTATGTTTCTCCTATAACTCATGACGTGCTTTGATACCTTCCACAGGAGGAGCTAAGGAACTCCATGCCAGCATCCACCTACCAGCAGCAGAAGCTACGTGTCTGTGAGGTGTGTGGAGCATACCTTGGCTTGCAGGATAATGATCGCAGGTTGGCAGATCATTTTGGAGGAAAGCTTCATCTTGGATTCATTGAGATCAGAGAGAAACTCCAATGGCTCCTGGTAAGCTAATGTCCTCTTTAAAAGAAAAAGTCCTCAAAAAGTCATATCTCTTAACCTGGTAAGATAAAGTCCGCTTGAAGAAAAAAAATTAAGTCATGTCTCTTAACCTTAAAAGCAAAAGTAGCCCCTCTGCAGTCGGAATCATTTATTACGTTTAAGGTTAACACATCTTGTCTTAACCTTTGTCAATGAATGCTTGTAATGTTTATAAAATGTCCCTTTGTGCACAAATAATATCTCGTCATCATCCATACTCTTATGATAAAAAAAATGTCAACATCAGAATATCTAATGATGAACTGTGTGCGATTAATGAATGACTTCAAAGACATTTTTTTAATGACAGAAAAGACAACAGCTGGTGATTCACAGGAATTTATTCTTTTAAAGATAAACTTGAGTTCTGGTAAAAAATGAAAATGAATTCTCACAGAATCAAACAAAACTTACACTGAATGTTCATGATTGCAAATAAATGTCATTTGCCAAACAATTTGGTAGAAAATGTATACTGGCTGAGTAATGAGCATAGAAAGATAAGGAAATCAAGGTTGGTAGCCCGACACAATTTGTGTAGTCCCATATACATCTTTCTGTGTACAGTGCTTGTTACTTGATTTTGATGACTCCAGAACCTTGCAGTACACACCAATACTTACATGCTACAGGATCAACTTTTTCTGATCCATTCCACACCTTTTCTTTGACAATACAGTCACATGACAAGAACTCAACTTTATCTTAAATTTGCCAATTGCTCCTATAATGGGGTTTGTTTCTCTTTACAGAACTATTCTGAGCAGCAACGAGAGCAAAGAAGGATGGAGAGAGAGCGAGATGACGAGGAGGAGCCTAAGAGCAGTAGCAGCTATCGTGACAGACGAGACAGAGGAGACAGAGATAAGGAACGAGAGAAGGACCGTGACAAAGAACGAGATAGGGACCGAGATAGGGACCGAGATAGGGACCGAGACAGGGACCGAGACAGGGACAGAGACAGGGACCGAGACAGGGAAAGGGAAAGCAGCAGTCGCAACAGAGACAGAGATAGGAATCGAGATCGGGATAGAGATCAGGATCGAGATCGGGACAGAGATCGGGATAGAGAGAGAGACAGGAGAAGGTATGTCAGAGTTCAGACTCGTTCAGATATGAGCTTCTTATGTGTTCAAAAGAGATATCTCCTTTTATTTGTAATCTGGAATAGATGTATGATAGATTGATTGATTCTAATAATGAACCAATAAAGGTTGTGAAGAGGTACGCAACATTTTGCCTGGCAACCGACGATATCACATATTTATTTGATAAATAAATTTTAAAACTGCGAGTCATAAAATATCTTGTTTTCTTTATTTTCTTAAATAGATATAGTTTAAGTATTTTCAATAGGATATGTTCTTTGGTAACCTCTTACTTGCATATATTGATTTGCTTGTCGCAAAAGCAATCTTCAGTTTCCTTTATTTCATAAATTCTTTGATGTCATGTTTTGATGCAAAATGGATGTTTGTAACAATTGTGCTACAACTATCTTAGATTTTGACATTTTCAAACAATTTGAGTGATATTAACCCTCATAATTTATTTTGGTAATTCAGGATAAAATCTTACGGATTGTAACAAAGACTAAAGTATATAGCCGATAGTGTCAAAATCATGAATTTGCCTTTCACGGTTTTGTGAAACAGGTTGTCTGCTACAAGATATCTGTAGGTCGTGGACAAGGATATTACTGTCATGGAGCTGGTTTCATGAAATGACACCCTAGGTGTCGTTTCACAAACCCATCCTAAGTACAAGTTCACCTACATCTCATTGAAAAGTGTGTTAAATTTAAAACGTGTGTTATAATGGGTCGCCAGCGAACTTGTACAAGTTCACCGACATCTCATTGAAAAGTGTGTTAAATTTAAAACGTGTGTTATAATGGGTCACCAGCAAACTTGTACAAGTTCTCCAACATCTCATTGAAATGTGTGTTTTTTTAAATTAAAACATGTGTTATAATGGGTCACCAGCGAACTTGTACTTAGGATGGTTTTGTGAAACACTGCCCCGAACTTCTGAAGGATCATTGATAAGAGTATTCTGTTTGTTTGTCTTTCAGATCTAGATCTAAGTCTAGGAGCAACCGTCACAGACGCAGCCGGTCTAGGGACAAAAAGAGGTGAGGATCTAATAGAACTGACAATTCAAATATCACCAAGCTTCTTGAGTTTGGGTATTCCAAAAAACAGTAGGACACTTGTATCCTGCTTTTCTTGTGACAAACTAAATGTATTTTGTAGCGTATCAAAAGCATTTTATTTAAGGTTTGTTACAGTACTTTACTATCAGAAGGTACCTGTATCAGCAATTCGTATTTCTCATTTCAACTATCCTATGCCGCAAGATGAAATTTCAACCTAGATAAAGTTCTCATGTACACCCTGTACAGGTAAAGATAGACATAAATCTGCTTTGTGAGCACTTGACCGTTTGGGTGACTACACAAGCTCTTTGATGTTTGTGTAGGGACTACACCATTGGATTTGCTCTTTCATCCTATACTTAGTTCTTGGTTTATAGAAAACATCTTTTATTCTATGTTGCCTTTATCAGGTCTCGATCCAGGTCTAAGGACCGCGACAGGAAGAGCAACAGAAGCAGAGATCCTGACCGTGATCGAAGGCATAGGTCAAGGTCTCGAGATCGCGATCGACACTGTGATCGACGCCACCGCTCGCGTTCCAGGGAGCGTAGTAGTCGTCATTCGCGATCCCATTCCCACGAGAGTGGAGAAACCAAAGAGGAACCACGTGTGAAGGAAACCAAAGTGTCTGATTACGAAGAAGGGGAGATGAGGCAGGATGATTATGAAGCTCCGCCCACGGAGATGAAGACGGAGACGAAGAGAGAACGGATGAGCTCTCCGGAGGATGGTGAAGATAGAGAAGACGAGAAAGGGAATGAAATGGATGAGAATCCTGAAGAGGATGTAGCTCCCGCATTTTGAGCTAGTTTCGATGATGCATTCTGCAATGATCTTGCTCACTTGTTTTTCAGGTGTATTTGCCATCCATTATGGTATCTTGTGGTCATGTTACCCATCGTTAAGAACTAATCAAATGCTTTTGATTCCTAGTCCAATAATGTAATAGGAGTTATTCAATAAGCACTTGTCACAGATTTTGTATTCCTTTGTGTAGTGTGAATCCAAAGTAATTGTGAGCATGTGTTGATATGAAAAGTCATATCCAGAAACCAAGCCAAATTATAAACATAATAGCTCTATACCCTTTAACAAAAGGAATGTGTATGTTTTAATATACAAGCTTTGACTTTATTTAACAATACTTGATATACTTTTGGACTTAATTTTTGCTTTTCTCCTTGTGTATATATTTCATACCACTGTATCCTGGATGTGGGATCTACATTTTAATTGATATTGTGGTTTGTTTATGTATTCTATTGTCCCATCTGCTCGCAGCAACTTTAAGTAGTAGCTAAGCCCAATATCTTGTCATTTGTCTCAGTTTTTCATAAGATTAGTGCCAATGCTCTACAGATGTAGTAGTCTTAAAACTTTCATCAGGCAATCAGGTAACGCTTTGGAGATGAATTAAGACAAGACGTTCAAAATTTTGGCAAATGATGTGGGCAAGCGGTTGTCAGTTTACGCAAAAAAATGCATGTTTGTGTCAATCTTTTGACAACACACTTTCAACGTATTGTTGTAAACAATATCCCTTGAAACTCTATAAAGCATTGAATGTTTGGTGACTTAGGTTCATATTAAATAATGCAAAATTTACACAGATGACAGGTGGTAGAGAGAAAAGCTTGATAACAGTTATTATAACGTTGAAATAGGAAAAGAAATTAATATAGACACCTTTTACCTTTGAACATGCAATGAAGTGTATACTTACTTGAGAGTTACATAAAATCTGATGTTATATTTCATTAGTTTCTTTGAAAACTTGTTACTCTCAAGAGCAGAAGTGTAAGAATTAGTTCTGTGTAACTTTCGATTAAATTTTTTAGGTGCATGAAACCTGTTATAAATCCTGTATCTTCATTGTTCTTGAAACTATTGCAACTTTGAGAAGCCGGTCACAGTGATTGGTTTTGTGTAAGTTTTTATTTCAAATCCTTTGAAACTTTGCAGAACACTTTGTCGTAAGCAGAATATAAATCTCTGCAATAAAGCAAGATGGTAGCATACATGGCAATATTTTCACTATTTTAATTTAATTTAATAAATGGCATTATTCTATGTGATGTGATCTGAAATTCTGAATCGGCATGGACAATGTACATTGATTAAGGTAGCAGTTTTACTATGTACATTTTCCTTTCAAAGTGTGTTGTGAGTTTTCATTTTCCTTTCTCTATGCATGGTTCCACACTAATATATGCCTGATGCCCTTTGACACGCAGAATTGCATTCCAGACCCCTAAAACTCTTTAATTTTGAAAGTGGCCCACGTGCACATAACATCTCATAACTTTAGTCTAGACCCGTTTGTTTCAAAAAGAAAGTTATTAGTGAGTCCTGCTGTGTTTATATTTCAAAAACAGATGATCACTAACTCAAGTTTTTTGGTCCCTTTTTTTTGCTTCATAATGATCAAGACTCATTGTTCATCTACACATCTTGTTTTATATGTAAAATTTAAATGTGTATCATATTCTTTTTTTCTGCAAACAACAATAATTTCATGTGTAAAATGATGTATTATGTTGAAATTGCACATTTCCATGCTTATGCAATTATTATTCTCTGTGTTGATATTGTACATTATTCTGTTACAAGTCTCACCAATAAGCTGCTTTAAAAAGGTGAAGAAATATAGGCAGACTTATTAACTTGGAACCCATGAAGTTTTAATGGCAAATTTCAGCTACTCAGAATAGAATACTCGTAGTAATACTTCTGCTTCAACATGACACAAAACAGTTGCCGGTACATCTAAATTCACAACGGTTCTTGGCTGCTCTTCTATCATTGTTTTTGGATACATTGCATTTGAAATGCTAGTTGAAATTTAAACTTGTTGTCATGAATTATTTTCCCGATTTGATTCCCATGAACATGACTAAAATAGATTAAAAAGTGTAATGTTGTTCTGATGAAATGATTATACTGATTGATATCCTATCTGAATGAAAAAGGTGGATTTGTTGCCTGTATACACCTTCATTGGAAAAGTAATTTAGAATTTAAGGAGTTTATTGTAAGCCAAAAGACATTATCGTCTGGTTCAAGCCAGAAATGTTTTGACTCCTACACTGTAGCTCTGAGTTAAAGGGGAAGTCCACCCTGAAATTAAGTTAGTTTTTTAAAGGAGTAGAAAAATGAGAGAAACAAGTCAGTGAAAGTTTGAGCAAATTCTGATTAAAAATAAGGAAGTTAGGATTTTTGAAGTTGTGATCAATCAAACACAAATTGGCAACTCTATGACGTATCATGCGAGCTCAACTTCCATTTGCTCAGTACTAAAAAAATCTAAATTTTCATATTCCCTCAAGAAAAATTTCAACCATACATGCACCCTAAATATAATAATTGCAAATATGTTTCTATACTTCCCCTGCAAGGAACAAATATATATTCCGTCATCAATAACGAAGAAAACATGATTTTATGGAATATTATGCACAAAGCAAATGAAGGAGAGCTCGTATAATAAGTCACAGAGTTGCCAATTTGTATTTGATTGATCACAACTTCAATAATTCATAACTTTCTTATTTTCATTCAGAATTTGCTCAAACTTTCACTCACCTGATTTTCTTATTATTCTGCCTCTATCGAAACAAATTTATTTTGGGGGTGGACTTTCCCTTTAACCCGCTTCTAGCTCTGAACATGCATGTATGATGTCTGTATGTAAGCATTACATACATACATACATACATACATACAGCCATAACCTGAGAAAAGTCTGTTCAGCAGCTAAATGGGCTAGATGGTTACCTGTTTGAATTCTTTGACTAAGATTTCTTTCCTTTGAACAATTTTTTTAATGTCTGTAATTTGCTCTGCTGCCTTACAGATTGTTTAACACATGGATGCATTTGAACATTACATCTTGTAAAATTCTGTAGCAGCTTTTAAACGTTTTGGCAAGTCGTACACGTAGCTTTTTTGTCCCATATGTTATTAAAAACATCAAGGATTTCAGTATATCTGATGGTAGTATCAAGCCGATAGCCCTACTAGAGTTAAACCAGAAAAAAAATCAAATGAAATGATATTTTTGTATCAACTGACACTACATGTACTTCTGACTGTATATACTGCAATCTGCTGCTTATAATTTCCTGATGTGTCCACAGCTATGCATACAATTCATCACCAACTTAATTCATCTACATAATACTTGATAACGTATGGGGCATACCTTGGACCTTCCCTGGTCAATTTATTTTGTTAACATTTTGCAGTTTATGTTGTTTACAGGTATGACTATACGCTTGGTATGTGAAATAATACATGAATACGATTCTAGATAAGCTGTGATTAAGTTGTTTGTCATGTGATTATTTTTCTCATCCCTTTTCCATTGTACATTTTGTAGAAAGTACATTCATGGTAGAATAAGTTCCCTTTTTGTAATTAAATTCTAGATGGTGAAAAACAAAAAATCTAAATTGGTGTGTCTTGTTTTTCATTCCTTCCTAGCTGGGCAGAAGTTGTACCATTCTCCACACTTCTTTCCCAACATTAGTAAGATGATATATTGTGGGAACGATAGAAATGCAGTCAAACCTGTCTTAGTGATCTGCAATCCTTTCTATAAAGCCCACCTGTCTATAGTGACCATGCATTTTGTCGAGAGAAAGAGAGAAGAGAAAGTTTTTTTTAATGTTATGAGAGCAAGGGAAAATATAGAGATCGGTTAAGAGGCGGGAAGTGGAAGCTGAGAAAGAGAAGGGGGTTAGGAGGGGAGACTATTTAACTAATATATATATAGAGAGAGAGACTAAGGAGAAATAGAGAAAGAGCTAGTGTGTGTGGGGGGGATGTAAGATTGAACAGGTGAGAGAGCTCTAATATAGATAAAGAAAGGGGAGGGGCGCTTCGAGACAGAAAGAGAGATAGAGTGAAAAGAATGACATTAAAAGAGAGGAAATCGTAATGATAATGTACATACATGTAAAACAACAATTTAGACAGGGGTATAGAACGGTCAATATAGAAAAACATATGTTTTCGTGTTTACTAGAATTCTGGATGCGTATAAGTAATGGTATGAGGATTTTTTTCATTCTGTTCGGCAACGTAGTTCAGGTTATTTCTTAGTATGCTAAGTACTCTTTTTTTTTTTTGTGGTAATCTGGGGTATGATGTTGCTTAACTGGTTACTAGAAATCCATTTTCCAATGAAAGATATGCACAGAATCAAACGAAATTTACACTAAATGTTTAAGATTACAAATAAATGTCATGTGCCAAACAATTTTGGAAGAAAATGTATACTGGCTGAGTAATGCGCATAAAATTAAGATAAGGAAATCAGATAGTACTAGCCCCGACACCATTTGTGTAGTCCCATATACATCTTTCTGTGTACAGTACTTGTTGCTTTACCAAGACTGGGCCAAATTTATTATGATTTTGATGACTCCAGAACCTTGCAGTGCACGTACTTACATGCTACACGATCAACTTTTTCTGATCCATTCCACACCTTTTCTTTCACAATGCAATCGCATTACCAGAACTGCCCTTTATCTTTAAGTGTTTGGAAATCAAAGTATCAGGTATATTGACGATGAAGTTGTTTATAAGCATCGAGTGAACCATCGAAGTAATGGGCTAAGTACAGAATTGAAATTCAAAACTAAAACTACTTGCTAAGAGCTCTTTTTTGAGTAATTTGGGGTAAGATGGTTTTTTAACTGGTTACTAGATATCCATTTTCCGATGAAAGAATTGCACAGCGAAAGTCCCCTTTGCTTAAATGTTTGGATATCAAAGTATCAGGTATATTAGCATTGAGTGAAGCATTGAAGCAATCGGCTAAGTACACCTTAATTGAAATTCAAAACAACCAATTGTTCAGGATCATGATTCAAAGACATGGACCAATTGATATCGTTGATAATCTACCTGCGCACAGATCTTGAGACAGATGTGACCTGATTGATTTAATTTGATTAATTAATATACAATCTATTTGTAATTCTACTAGGCGATTACAAAATGGGACACAACTAATATACGACTGATTATCAAAGTGAAATAATTTCATTAAAGCGTTAAGGAAAGTAAATCATCAAGAAGCATTGTCACATAATCGGAACTTGATGGCGTGACAATCTTTTACAAAACATAGGAATTACTACATGTATTTTCTAAAGAGGGATATCAGGAAAAGGACTTTTGAGTCGTACTCTCAGTAAAAAAAAAAAATCAATTATGTCGGAGAAGATTTCAAGGGCAGATAGTAAATATAATTAAAAAATGTGAAAACTGTGTAGAACAGACGGCATGAGAATTTAGAAATTAAGTAGAGAAAGAAAGTACGGGTATCAACTGGACACGTTGCAAAAAGCTGTGGTTGCAATCTGATTACAACTTTGATTGTCAAAAGTATGGATACACACATCATTCTGCTAGATCGAAGCCTATCATCCGGACAAGAGTGATATCAGCCTCCAATTCGGATCTCTCATCTCCTCCGATAGAGAACTAATATAAGTCGCCAATCTAAACCATAAGGTAATTATATACAAATATTTCTCTACGATTAAATATACATCGAGATTTTGGATTAGCATAACTTAAATAGACGGATGACCAGCAAATCAAGCATCAAATGAAATATGTAATTTTTTTTAACATGAAATTTGTCTCTGATTCTAGCAGTTTCGGCTATGTACGGTGATAATGATACAAGAAATAATCAGTTTTATAAATTTGTTGTACCCGAAAGACTTGGACAAATTGAAAACTCTTTTTATTTTACTGGCATACAATAATCTTTTCCAAAAACGTAAAATAAGTATAACAAGTTTTACACACTACAAATGTTTTTATTTTAAATAATAAATATTTAGAATTGATTTCCTGGATTAGAATGTAACTAGTGCATGATGGCTCTAATTGGAAAAAAAATGTTTAGATACTGGTCAGATATAATAGGGGGTTCGCCACTGAGTTTACAGTTCAATTGTGATATAAAAGATATGAATTTATTATGCTCTAAACATTATTTGCCAGAATTTTAGGTAAATCTTTTTTGTATTTGGTCAGAACTAAGATTCGTTGACAATTATTGGAAAAAAAGTAATATTACCTTTAAGAAAAATATGGTTTTATCGAAAATGGCAAGATGCCGGTTTATTGAAAATTCATATTTTGATTACAAATGGTATTTGGAATGACTCTACATTAATTATTAAAAAAGTGAACCGACGCACAACAGCTCTTATTTGATTTTAAATATATAAAGTTTTAAAAAGCATTTAGGCAGTGTTGGTTAGATAGATTAAGTGATGTCAATCACTTTTCAGATGCATATGACATTTCTCATCTTATAGAAATAGAAACAGGGGATAAAGTAAATGTTTTCGTTATGAAAGTGAAAGATTACTATCGTTTGTTAGTACGGAAGAAGCCAAGAGAACCAATTTTCATTTTTTGTTTGGAATCTATTTCTAGATTTAGATAATGACTTTGTTTGGAAGGATGTATTTTCCTTTAAAATAAAGCAAATTTGTAA